TCTGTATCGTCCACACTCGTCTACCTGTTTTTCTCAGCCTCTTCCGCCGTCTCAGGAAGCTCGGTTTTCTTGGTCTCTGGCAGGAGGAAGCCCAGGGCTCCGCCAATGATCGTCAGGCTGCTTGAGATGACGATGGGGATGACCCAGTGGTACACGGCCAGCATGTTCAGCAGCGGAGCCAGTAACACTCCTCCTCTTGCTGCTATCGAGCCCAGAGCCGTGGCGGTTTGTCTGAAACGGATTAGATGACTGGACTGCTAACGCTGTCCGAACACTAGTGACTTTTCCCTGACAACAAGAAGAGCTCCTACCGAACCGATGTTGGACTCAACTCCTGGATGTAGACACACGCTACAGAACCAGCCCAGACCAGGAAGAAGCGAGCGGCCACAGCCAAAGACGTAATAGCTAGAGCATGTTCTAGGAAGGGGGATAAAAGGAAGAACGACAAATAGACCAAGCACATGTTGTGTAATATCGATCCAACCAAAAGGTTTACCTTGGGGAACAGCAACAATGAGCAAGGAAGAAAGTCCTCCTATCATCAGGGTGAATATGAATAACGCTTTTCTCCCAAATATCTCCAACAGCCACATGGAGAATAGATTAGCAGGTATTTCAAAAGCGCCAAAGAGGAACTGGGTCAAAAAGATGCTAAAGCCGAGGTTTCCCATGTCTAAGTACAGGCAGTAGATGCAGAGGTTCAGCGAAAACCTGAAAACAGGCAGAGGTCAGTTAGTCACAGTCAGAAACAACTAATCATTATTGAATAATGATTAGTTGATTCCGATCATCTGGCTAAGTGCAGCAAAGACATCAACTTGTTCTACAGAGCATTGCAATGTCCAGTTTCTGTTTTGCACTACTCACTTACCAAGCCAGCACAACAGTAAGGAAATATCTGGTGAGTATCGGGGATCTGAAAATGATCTTCATGCCACCGTTGTTTGGGGTCGTGTTCACGGTAAGCTGTGGTAGAAATTCTGGTTAAGATTGGACTCAATCCTAGATAAATACACTTAAAACAATTTGCTATATCATGATTAGGCACTTGAAACAGTTGTTTCAAAGCATTAAGACAAAATTATTACCCAAAACTGTCCAACGAACCATTTGATAAAGGATGCGTTTAAAAGATTTTAAAGCAAACCAACCTCATCCTAACCTTTCTAAGACCATGATGCAGCAGCATATCGTGCTGTAGAAAGTTTGCTGGGGACTAAATATCTCTCTTTCTGCTAAACAAAAAGATAAGAGAGACTACAACCACAAGTGCTACACAATCACAAGACTAGATCATGTAATATTATTAAAATATCTGCTATAAAGTATCAGGCTGGTCTTTGTATTGTTTCAGAGAATTAAACGGTCCCAGTCGGTGAATCTCTACTGAAAACTGGTACTTTAACAGTTAGTTGGTATCCTGAACCTTTTCCAGCAGAGAGTGAGGGACCGGCTGTTTGTTAACAGCTGCTGCTTTGGCAATGAGCTGCTTCACTTCCTCTGTCCGTCCCTTGTTTAACAGCCACCTGGCTGACTCTGGGATGAACCTGGTGAGGAAAAAGGACATGTAACTTCAAAGGTAACTGGAAACAGACGTCTTTTAAACCCTTACACACCATATGTAGACAGCAGCCACTGCAAGAGGCGCTGCACCAATCAGTTGAGCCACTCTCCATTTTCTGATGCCATAGATGGTACCAGCCAGGACGCACTGTCCGACCGAGCCGAAGAGCTGCGTCACACATGCCCCCCATGACCTTTTGGACACGCCGATCCATTCGGTGGCTGCAGCAAGGAAAAAGCACAATGCCAGAAGCAGCAGACACACGTTTTGCCTGGATAAGCTCCTAAAAAGCATGCACAAGTTAAACCAGGCGAATGAAATATACATACACAGTATAATACAGTTGACTCGATAGCCACCAGCTCCAATTCCCATCAAGAAAATGGACGCTAGATATAAGTAAATGCTGGGGCACAGAGCTGTTGTCAAGGTGAACACAAACGTTATCACCGCTGGAATTTGAGTCGCTCGCTTACGGCCAAACCTGCCAAAGTAAGGAGAGACCAAAGTGACGCGATGAAAGCCAGACCGTGGAAAATGTCTAGCCCAGTGAAACACGGCAAAGTTTGCGTTTGCAACTTGTCACCAGGTGAAAAAACGTCAAGGTGTTTAGACATATCTTCTGCAAAGCACTCCGGAAATCTGACATCATAAAAAGTGGAGATGAGTCGGCTTTGTTGTTCCCACTTACGATTCAGCAAAAGGTCCAAACATCAGAGAACCCAGAAGGATTCCAGCCAGAAACACCGTTTGTATCACTCCCACCATGTTGGACTGGCCACACACCAAATCAAACTGCAAACATTTAGATGTTTCAGTAGATCTTGATCGACTGAATGACAAGTTAAGAGTTTGTGCTCTGCCACTTACATCAGTCACTATGGTGGATTCATACAGCATGCTGCCATAAACCCATCCATCCCTGCAGCCTGTTGTCTCATTGAGTCCATAGTCCCTGATGTCCTGGATGTCCCAGTCCACATGGACGAACATCCGACACGGCTGAAGCTCCCGTCCTCCTCCCTGGGCACGGTGAGGTTCAGCTGCTCCTCTGCGGTCAGGTTAGCAGCTCTGAGGATCCAGTCCGTGTTGCAGTGCCGCTCCGGGTCAGACTGGACGAAAAGAAAGCCGGACATCAGAAAACCCTGGCAGAAGTTGGGAAATGCGAGCGCAGTAAGAGTAAGCTGCTGGAACAAGCCAAACTCTCCGATGTTCCTGAGGATCTCTCCGAAGTCTGCCATGTTGATGTCACTTCGCTGTGTGAAGGCCAAACAACAGATGTAAGCGGCGTTAACCTTTAACCACTTATCTCACCTCGAAGCAAGACGGCGGCACGTTTGATTTTACACTTTCCAGTTGAAACAAACTAGAGCTCTATGACTTTCCAGAGAGATCTTTAGGAACGAGTCACTTATCAGAAGGCATGTCGGTATTCGAAGGATTTTGCTGACAGTACATCCATATAGCTGGATGTCTTTGTGATTCAAAAATAATTTGGTCTGAAGTTCAGCCAAGACAGTTTTATGTTGCTTTGTCAGACATTCTGCACTCCAAGATTTGCAGTAAAACAATGACCTTTGAATTTTCTTACAATTCTCTACGGTTTATGGACACTTTAGATAAGCATATTTGCATACATAGCAGATGGATTATATGCTGTCCACAGTATATCTGAGCCATAAAATGTCTCATGAAGTTCAAATGACTTATATTTTTTAAACAACATAAACTAAATTAATAATTTTTTTACTTTTTTTTAATGGTCTTGTTCAAGACTGAAAAAAATACTCATTAATCTTGAAAAAAAAAAGATCAAGAAGAGTTCGATGTAAATTCTGTTCTATAAAACAATGTTTGATAATCTGAAACATTTAAGTCTGACAAAAAAGCAGAACAAATCTGTCAGGGGGCAAATACTTATTCAGACTTTTTGTAAGTACAAAAAGTATTTATAATGCTTAAGTTAAAGTTATTAAAGTGAAATAATTTCACCTCCACATATCTGCAGGCCTTCACTGTGCATCACTGGCTACTTTAATTTGTGCAGGTAACGGAACAAAAGCGAGAGCCGATAAATTACCTTGTAAAAGAACGGCAGTGGCTTCAAAGGCTGAACACGAGCTTCAGTCTGTCAGTGCAAACAGGACGCACTGAAAGGTTGACACAACTCATGTCACCATCAATGACCCAAACAAGTTAAAATGTAACCAGGGAAACAAAAATGGTTCGGATTACGTTAAATGTCAGTCCCACATGGCTTAAAACAAGCTGTCAGCAAAACAGTGCAAGTGTGTGTGTGCTTTCGAAAAGCAGCTCTGAATCTAAAAATAAAACTATTTTATATATATATATATATAGATATAATATATATATATATATATATATATATATATTATATATATATTATATATATATATATGGTGGTATGTAGGAACAACATGTGTATATGTAGTTTTATCTCAGCATAGTGAAATATAGTTTATATGCATGTAATTACATAGACAGTGTGCAGGCTATGGAATAAAAGCGAAAGCTGATAAAAGCTATCTATTTTTACAATCTGTTAAATATTAAGAATATGATGTCTTTGCATCTGGCAGGAGGTGATGTCAGATTATAGTGCTTTCTTTAAAATAGACAGCAGGTGGTTGTACTTTATCAAGTCATAATATGTCACATCAGTGGTAAAATTATTACTCCAGTATCTGAAAGCTATGTTTAAAAAAAAAAAGAAAACATAGGGTTTATTTCTGCTCCTAAAAACATAGATACTGACTTGTAGGTAAGAAAAGCTACGTGTTTGTAGCTGTAGCTTGAAAACTGTGAATGTAGACGAGAAACAACATTTGACGGAGAGGACCAGGAAGGGCAGCAGAAATCTGGGCTGTTGCCTGCCAACACGGACTGGGACGGTCCTCTGTAAGAGACGGTTTGGGTCAAATGGCGATTCTAAATCGCCTCGGATTCTACATCTAAAACTCTGATCTGACCCAAACTAGACGAATCTGCACTGAGCAGAGGAGATTAAAAATTAAATTAAATTAAAAATTCAGTTTTGGACTTTTGGTGTCAACCTGAACTCCAGAATGCATGAACTTATAAAACTTAAAGGAAATTTTTCTTGACAGATTTGTGAAACATTCACTGTAATTGTGGAAAATAAGAAAAGGAATGTCTTTTTTTTTTTTTTTTCTCGGGCGTTGCTTCGTCTCGTGAACCCTGTGGATAGTTTTGAAGGCAGTAAGTGTGTGTTCTTGGGATCCTAGTAAAACACAACTTTACTTTTAGAGAATTGTGATTTTTTTTTTTTGTATGAAGGTAGAAAAAAATAACTGCAAAATATTCAACAGGCTTTCCTTGTACAGATGCCTCAACAACATACATACACCAATGTTTTAATATGTTTAATGATGATAATTTTTAGAGACCAAAAACTAAACTTTTTCTTTACCTTCGTAAAGAGATCACAAAAAATAAACTCTATACAATAATGAAGCAGCACCGCAACCATAAAGGTTTCCAACATTTTCATAAAACAGCAACCAGTATAATAATGAGACGTGAAGCTTCTGTCAAAAAGGTTTTCACACAAATGTCTCAACAAAGTAAAAGCCGTTAGTCAGAGTTTTATGCCCTGATTTCATACCTCTTTTTTTCAGTGGTTGTAAATTTGTCATTTTTTTTCTCCCCACAAAAACATAAGCGCACGAGTTAAAAAACAAACAAATCAAAAACAGATTGATTATTCCATATTTGCAAAAGTAGATTGGGTTGTAACCTAAATACCACTTGGAAAGGATTTGAAAGTTAGGAGCTCGAAACAACGTTCTCTTAATTATTGAGCGTTAGTATCGATAAACAATCAAACCGTCTGGATGCTTTGACAATTACAGGAGATAAAATAAAAATCCACTGATTAGCCGTAGCTACACAGCCAGAGCTCCAATGAAACCTCTAAGTGCTCTAGAAAAATGAAACTGTACAGACTAAAACTTGGTTGATTTGATTTGCAAATCTTCGTTTGAGTCTCGTTGGTGATTCGTCTTGTTCTTCGTCCTGCGGTGAGAAAAGAGAAGATCTTCAAAACCAACAATGTTTGAACAAAAAAAACAAAACAAAAGGTCATCAACAAAGTGGTAAATGCAACCAAAACAAACGCGTGTCCAGCGGAAGAAATTGGTCGCGTTTTTTTACGAAAAACAAAGAAAATCTCGCAACCACTGGAATTTGATGCTACTCCATTTTGTTTGCTTTTTGTGAATAACAAAACTCATCTCAGTGTCTTCTTCAGAGGTTTCTGTGTCGTCCTCTTCAGTGAGTTTTGGTGCAGTGCAGTGTGAAAGTGAACTGCACCAGCTGAAAATTAATGTAACAAATGTTGCAATTTTGTTCTCCGGTCAAACCAAGTCTGCTGGACTACGAGGTTTGAAAACTGCTGCAATAATTGAGGATTTTGACATTTTAGGTCCAGTGGTCAGGAGTGTATCAATCAGGCATACAACAAGCAAAGATTCTCATAAATAAGATGAACCAGAAAAGGCAAACATTTGTGTAGTTTTGTGTAGCTTTCTCACCAGTTGCCTTCGGCTTGACGGGTCGAGTCGGGGAGTTCTGTTCTTCTGGTCTCGGGAAGCAGGAAGCAGAGGGCTCCGCTGAGGACGGTGAGGCTGCTGTAGACCACGATGGGGATGGACCAGTGGTACACGGCCAGCATGTTGAGCAGCGGGGAGAGCAGTCCTCCGACTCGGCTCGCGATGGAGCCCAAACCCGAGGCGGTTTGTCTGAAGCAGGGAGGGACAAGTCGTTCCTCAAATGTTTGTCCAGCAAGTTGTTTTTGTCTGCTTAATGCACTGCTTTAAAAGGAAGACGCAAGTACTACAGCCGAGGCAGAATTAGTACTGAACGCTTACCAGGAAAATGTTTCCCCCTTTTTAAATTTTTTTTTTTGTAAATTGCTTTGTTAAAAGAGCCACATTTTGTTGATCCCGACTGATTTGTAAAGGCAATAAAAATCCAGAGAGGTGAATACTTTCATCCCGAGTGAGAATCTGAGGCGTCAGACGGAACAACGAGGCGAAACGTTCCACATTTAAAAATGACCAGGTTGCAGAACAGTGTCATTATCAGGCGTCTTGAAGGGAAATCCATCAGCGGGAGTCGGCTTACCGAAAAGACGTCGGGAACAGTTCCTGAACATACAGGTTGCATATAGAGCCGGCCCAGTTGGTCAGAAAACGTCCGCCAATGGCTAACGCAGTGACAGCAATGGCATTACCTGGACAAGACAAAGAAACAGAAACTCAGAAGTACATTATAGAGGCTATAATATCACGAATGCAAAGCATAGATTGGGATTGTTTATTGATAATTATATCAAAATCTTTTCTAGAGTAAAAATCACAAATTATTTCAGGACTTCCAAGTCAGGAAGCTTGTCTTGTGACACTGATGGAAAAATAATTACAATCACTCATCAATCAATTTCTTCAAATTATGTTCAAATCATTATTAGGAGTTTATTTGAAATAAAATGACTAATCCTACACATGGACAAAAAGTAAATAATGAGTTTAGTTCAGTGGCTTCTGCCAAATTACCAAACTTTGTTTCATAAGCCTAAAATCACAGACGCAAAATAAATAAACTGCATTTATTCTCTATCAGTCCAAACCATTTAGGAACTGACCTTTTTACATTTTCACATACATATATGACTGTGGTGCTTTTTTTAAATGACAACTTGCTGCAGTGCAATGTTGCTTCAGCTGCCACACTAAGCTGTGTGCTGAGAGAAAGAAGAAGAAGAAGACGTTTTGTGGTTGGTTGCCTAAGTAAACATTTTTGGTTTGGAAAACGCAGCCGTGCAACGTTAAATCGAGTCAGTATGAAGTCAGTTATATGTATATAAAACACACTGGGTGAATAAACAGGCTTTACTTTGAGGTACTGCGAGGATCAAGAGGCACAGAAATCCTCCGATCACGAGTGTGGTGATCAGCGACGCTTTCCTGCCGACCGCCTCCAGCAGCCAGATGCAAACAATGTGAGCCGGTACTTCAGAGAGTCCAAACAAGGCCTGAGTCAGGAAGATGTCCAAGCCGAAGTTCCCCACATTCAGCGAAAGGCAGAAGTAGGTAACATTCAGGGAGAACCTGCAGAAAACAAAAACATTCAGTCTGTTAAGTTGTCATACTTCTAATTTCTTGTTTAGGTATCACAACTCCACAGGAAATGTGTTCTGCAGTGTAACTTACCAGGCCAAAATGATGGTGAGGAAATACTTCCTTAACACAGGAGATTTAATTAGACATATTATGCCTCCCTTTTCCACATTTTCTTTGACAGTAATCTGCAAAGGACACAGCATCATGTTAACAGTTGCTTGATTATAACTAATCACCGAATATGACAACATTTAATCTGCTCTGATTTGCTGAGTTAGTAAAAATAAGGCCTTCATTGCAAAAGTAACAATATTCCTCATTTAATCAGATTGTGTTGACAAACTTCAGTGTGTTTTGATTGGGATTTTTATCTGAGCGCATCGTACTCAAATTTATTTTCTAAAGTCAAGAAAATGTTCGTCACAAGGCACTGAATTGTCCTACGTCGTTCTGTTTTTCCCCTTTCATTACAATTATTGTATGAAACCCGTTCGACTTTTATGAAGCTACATTTATCGTCGTCTCCTTGGAGACAGACAGTCGCACCTTTTCCAGGAGAGAGTCTGAAACTTTGCGTTTGTTAATGGCCGCCACTTTGATGATCAGCTCTTCGGCCTCGTCCCTCCGTCCCCTCTCCAACAACCACCTGGCCGACTCTGGAATAAACCTGTGAAAAATCAGATGGATACTTTCTTTAGTCTCCTTTGCTGTTCATCTGCCTCATATGTCAATATCGTATGAAGATATAGAACCAGGAGGCTTAAACACATCCAGTAGCATGTACACTGACACTTTAAAAAAAAAAGTCAGATTAAGTTAGAGTTTACAGCATTTGTGGATTTTGCTCTGCGACGTAACTCCAGATTATTCACAGAGTTTTGAATAGAGGATATCTGAAATATTCTAAAGAAAATGTGCCTCAAACTAAAATACACGGAAACAGCAGCATCGTTTATTTCCTTGATTGGCCGAACCACCAAAAAGAGAGAAAATACAGATGCTAGCTTTTGCTGTAGCGCTAAGACAGTTTCCACTGTGTGCATTGATGCATGTTAAAGTATAAATGTTGTCTGAACTATTTATTATTTTTAGTTTTAGTTTCAACTGTGTGCAGATCTTAGCTTCGTGTTCGTTGTCCCCAACAAACAGGAACACCAGGAATCCACTGTACTATTCAAGGATAATCTTGTAAATCGGTTGTTTTCTGTTGGTTTGAAAATAAATCAGAGCTTGTAGCGCTTTTTCTTCTCTTTCGAGAGTTGTAACACTGAGGAAAAATGTGAATTGCTGGTCAGAGCTCAAGCGAAAAATGTGGAATTACGCATCGAGCCAGAAAATCCTGTTGCAACGCTGAAATACAAACAGTTTTTTCCCCACAGACCATATGTAAAAAGCGATCACAGCAAACGGAACGGCTGTGACCAGCTGAGCCAGTCTCCAGTCTCTGATGAAGTAGATCATGCCGCCGAGGACGGCCTGTCCGACAGCACCACACAGCTGAGTGATGCAGGCTCCCCAGGACCGTTTGGACACACCGATCCATTCGGTGCCTGAAGCAAAAAACATATAAACACTGTGATTGTGGAAAAGAACACCTGAAAGAAAGGATAATGTCACAGGCAGGATACTCTTGGGACAGCCTAGCAGTGGTTACAATAAATTACAAGTTGATAACAACGCTTGTTTTCCTGTGGTCTTTACGAGGCATCGGTGGCTTGACCTTTTCTACCAGGACGGCTCCAATCAGTTCAGACGCTTTTCCCTTACAACTGAATAACAGCTCCAGGACGTGGAGGTGTCATATAACTGGGCAGCCAAAGAGTCCAAAACGTAGTGTGACGTGATGGGTACGCATCACGAACACAACAACGGAGGACATGAAGCAGTGCAGGGAGCAGCGTGCAGCTTCTGGTCAAACTCAGCTGCTGTTTTTACAGAGTGGGGCTCAATCTGCAACCCACCAAACTCCCACCACCATTATCACCATCATCCACAAACAGGGAGTTGAGAGGCAACCAGTGACTCCATCCACCGTTTGGTGCCCATTTTGGAAACGAAAAATCGTTGTAGCTTGAATTATTTCCAAATTTCTCATCCCTAGTTGCATGTCTACCACATTACATCCTGGACTGGTCAATCCCTTATTGTGTGTGTTTTTTTTTTGTCAGAGTCAGTTTAGGAGAAATAAAAATATGATAAAATAAACTTTACTTAGGATGACGCCGTTGAGTCGATAGCCTCCATATCCAATTCCCGCCATGAACTGGGAGGCCAAATACAAAGGGTAGGTCGGACATAACCCAGTCGTTACAGAGAAGAGGAGCATCAGAACTACGGGGATCTGGGCCGCTCGTTTACGGCCAAACCTGAAACACACACGAATCAGTGAACACGTGGAAATGTAGGTGGAAGTGTGGAAAAGTAACACTGAGGAAGCTTCTCTTCAAAAAGTGCTCGCTCTATGAAACGCTCACGTTCTTTCTACTCGACACTAATTCTGCTCGACATTTTGAAAACGTGACGAACAACAGCAAAAAGCGACTTCCGCCCGCCATTCGGGTCGAACCCTGCACATGGGGCACATGGGGCACATGGGACACGACACATGGGACCCGCCCAGGCACATGTAGGGGGATGGGGGGGTCAAGAGGGGCTTGAACCCTTGCCCCTTTTATCCTTGATGCCCCTAGTGCCCTTTTTGAGTTTTTTTTTTTATCTGTATGACAGAAGGTCTGTTTGTGCCCCTCAGCAGTAATATGAATAATATGAGAATGTAAGTGTGTAAGTCTCAAATATCTGCTCGGTTCATCAATACGGGAGTTGCAATGTTGCGCTGACGTTTGTGGACGCGTCTGCTCCCGCTGTGTGCCCTTTTTTAACTTTGAGCCCCCGCCCCTCCAAAGATCTCTGCATGGCCCTGGACCCGTCTGCAGCCGCAGCCTCAGAAGTTTCACATTGTCCTACTTTGTCGCGTCGCCAGTCCTTTTTTTGCACGTTTTTGTGTATGAGGCTCAACATTTCATTCACAAAATTTTCACCAAGTGTCGACTTACGATTCAGCGAAAGGTCCAAGTAAGAGACAACCAGCGAGGATGCCAGCCATCAGCACCGTCTGCGCAATGCCCAAAAAATGAGCCTGGTCACAAACTAGATCAAACTGGGCAAAAACAACAAAACACATTAATTGGAGATGTATTGGAACTTACTGAGTGAAAGAGGCTTATCACTTACATCAGTCACTATGGTGGATTCATACAGCATGCTGCCATAAACCCATCCATCCCTGCAGCCTGTTGTCTCATTGAGTCCATAGTCCCTGATGTCCTGGATGTCCCAGTCCACAGGGACGAACATCCGACACCGGCTGAAGCTCCCGTCCTCCTCCCTGGGCACGGTGAGGTTCAGCTGCTCCTCTGCGGTCAGGTTAGCAGCTCTGAGGATCCAGTCCGTGTCGCAGTGCCGCTCCGGGTCGGACTGGGTGAAAATGACGCTCGCAAAGTGGAAAGGCAGGATGAGGTTTGGGAAGCAAAGAGCAAAGAGGATGGTCTTCTGAAACAATCCAAACTCCCCTATGTTACGCAGGACTTCCCCAAAGTCAGCCATGGTCAGAGCGCAGACCTGCACTCCGGTGATGCTGCGAGGGAAAGACCTTTAGACAAAGAGCCCGTTAATGTTTAAACCCACCCAAGCGTGATTCAGGAGAGATGAGATGGCGCTTTCACTTAGAAGCAGTATTCCTGATTTATTTTTTAAACCAGATTTATATCATCCTGGCATCTCCTACAGGATGACATCCTTAAAATCATTTTTGTTTTCTGGACTAAAGATTAAGCAATCTGGGAAACAGACTGATCAAAACAGCAAGTAAAAGTCCTCAAGTTTAAGCTTTGCCTGGCACAAATACTTTAATTACACAAAGACAAAACAACAGATGAACTCCAAGTCATAAAAAGTGTTCCTTTTTTTTTTTTTTTTTACTGCGTGCTGACTCGTCAAATCATGGCCAGTAGTCTTACCTGACATCTGTTAAATAACATTTTGGACTTTCGATACTTTATTTATAGTTTGAAGGTTCATAAAACTGTCAGCAATAAATCATAGGTGTAAAGTGGCTTTATATAGTTTAATCTGTCATAAAGTTGGCTCAGATTATTCCTTAAATATGTAATGTTTTAAAATAGCAAGCGGTCAAAACTCCAGCCATGTAATGTCGACCGTTTTATTGACAGACACGCATGTCATCCGCCTGGATCATTAGGTAACCAGTCAATAAGTTACAATGAGGCAAGTAGTAGATTAAAAATGGTAGAAAAAAGTGCATGTGCATAAATGTTACCCTGCAACCTGGAGTGGCTGAGAGTGATGTAATAGAAAAGATCTTCCTCCAACATGTGATGCTGCGACACAGAAAAGATGAGACACACACTTTGAGTTCTCAACATCCAGCGGAAGATTTATTCTTTTTATGGGAGCTCAATCTTTTCTACGCCGCCAATGCAATGCGCCCCTAGTGGTCACGTGGAGAATTGCATGGACGAACTGAAATAACGCTAAATAACTTTTTACAAAAAATTAAAAGATACAAAATAAAAAATTATGTTTATGTTTTCTTACTTGCTGTCTTTATTTACTAGTAACTTTGTTTTTCACGCCTCTACATAAACATGTCAAGATCGGGTTCTACACAGTCTGAGAAGCATTTCAGTTACCAGGAAGGATAGATTTATGTTTTAATCTAACTAAAACTCACAAAGTCATCCTCTCTGTATACTGGGAAAAGTGGATCAACTCTTAACATTACCCAATGGGTGGAATATATTTGTCCCGGATCCCAAAATCCTAACAGAGAACACAATTTAGGAGTAGGTATAAAACATTTTGAAAATGTTAGCTTGTACTTTCTTGATTTATTAAACTTAATGCTTCCAAATTATTCTGCGCAGAGAACAGATTGCTCGCCCCTTACACAAAACATGTCCGTTCAGCAGGCGGCAGAACAGCCGACTTTTCCTGATGACTTTTCCCAACCTCATCTCCCAGATGACGGGTTTGAGCGCGTAGGCTCAAACTTGGGATCCAAAGCAACAACAACAAAAAGGTTTTCTTTGTCATTTAGAGTTTGGTTGATTTTCTGGTGTGGATTTCAGCCACGACGATGTCACTTCCTGTCTTCCCGTTGGTCAAATCCCTGCAGGTCAAAAGGACAATAGTGTCTGTACAGTGTAATTGATCAATCTTGTAAACGATACGGACAAGTAAGCTTTTTTTTTGTAAGATTTTTTTCTCTGCTTTGAAAATATCATGGAGTAGCTATCAACAGCTTGGACACAGGATTTCAAAGGTTTTAGAGGGTTTTGTGAAAAGAGAAGCAATAATAAACTGTTTCAAAATGTGTGTTAGTATATGCTTGCATGCCCTAAACCTATTATTTAGTTGTACCTTCACTTTTTTTTTTTTGGCTGGAGCCTATAAACACCGCCAATTGGTCACAACGTATTCATAACGCTGTAGATGTTTGTGTTTGGTCCCTTCTCCTGCCTGATACCTTTGCGCACTGAGGTCTTCTTGATGGACCTCTATGTATTTAGCCAAAGGTGGCAAACGTGCAAAAGTTTGGAGGTTTTTATTTATTTATTTCAGTTCCTGAAATTGATGGCAGATGTAAACTCTGAAATACTGAATGCCAAAAATGAATCAAAAGGTGCAGTAAAAAGAAAAAAAATAGTTGTGTTGTGCTTGTCTTGTTGTTGAGAGACTTCAAAAGGGGTGTGAACACTTTTGAGAGCACGTATATTTCAATTTTTGTTCCAATCCATCTCCAAATACTCCAATTTTTTTTAGTGTTTGTATTCAGAACTCTATATACTTAATGTTTCAAGAGCTCACCAGCTGTATCTCATGTTGCAATTGGCGAGCTAGCCAGGAGTCATACGGGCTGCCCCAAAACTTAAAGATACTAGGGTGCCTCAGATCACATGGGTGACACACACACACACTACTTCTCCAGTGAGAGTACCACAGGATATGAGCTCACCCGTTGCTCTCGCCATCAGTGGTTGAATCAGGAAGATCTTTTCTGCTGGTCTCAGGAAGCAGGAAGACGAGTGCGCCACTTAGCACAGCAAGGCTGCTAAAGACGATGATGGGAATGGAGCGGTGGTACACAGCCAGCATGTTGAGCAACGGCGACAGCAGCCCTGCAACTCTAAAGGCAATGGAGCCCAAAGACACTGCAGTTTGCCTAAACGAACAGAGCATATTTCAGTTGCAAAAATATTCGATTATCATGTGAGTGTGTGTATCTATAAAACTTTTTCATATGACTCACCTCATAGAAGTAGGAAACAGTTCTTGAATGTAAACCAGACACACTGAGCCGGCCCAGTTCAAGAAGAACTTCCCTATGGTGACCAGAGATGTTACGGCAACAGCGTTGTCTGAAATTCGGGTGAAGCAGAAGCATTTCCAACAGTGAGAATACACCAAGATTATTCCTTCAGCGTTAGATTCAGCAGTTTACCTTGAGGAAAAGCCAGGGTCAAAAGGCAAACAGCCCCAGCCACGAGGAGAGTTGACAACAGCGATTTCTTCCGTCCCAAAACCTCTAAAAACCAGATGCAGAGGAGATGTGCAGGCACCTCGGAAATCCCGAACAGAAACTGGACCAGGAAGATGTCCAGACCAAACTTGCCCACGTTCAGAACGAGGCAGAAGTAACCCAGGTTCAACGAGAACCTTAATATGTAAGACATTAATTATTTGCTCATCATGGACATGGAAAGCAAATCAACGGTGCCTCACTCACCAGGCAAAGGATATGATGAAGAAATGTTTCATCAGCACTGCCGAGGTGAAAATTGTTTTGATTCCTCCACTTTCCACTTTTTTCTCCTCGCTTACCTGTCCAGCAAATATAAATTTAATAAAATGCAAACGTCAAAGAAATAGTTTGTTCTCCTGAAATAAAATCCTAATTTCAGAACTAATTTTTGTATTTACTCAGGATTAACAGCAGAGTCATCATGATGGGTCATGATGACTCTGCTGTTTTCACACTGTGCCAACCGCTCAGGTGTGGAGCTGTTAGTTTTTCTTTGACTCTAGAAGTCAAATTTGGTTGAATATTATATCTGCTAAACTGGGTGAACCTTGTCGAGCAGGTTCTCTGGGATTTCCTTTTTATTGATCGCTGCAGCTCTTCGGATCAGTTCCTTGGCTTCCTCTGGCCTTCCCTGCCCCAGGAGCCACCGGGCCGACTCGGGAATCCACCTAAAAAAAAAAAAAAAACAAAGCTGTTGAGCAAATACAAACCGGTTCAAACCTGAGGATCCGATGTGTAACCAACAAAAACACCTACCATATGTAGAGGAACACCACAGCCTCGGCCCCTGCCACCACATACTGCGCTTTCCTCCAGTCCCGGACGAAGTAGACCAGCCCGGCCAGCGCACACTGTCCGAAACTTCCAAACACCTGGCTGACACAGGAGGCCAGGGACCTCTTAGTGATCCCAATCCACTCTGTAGCTGCAAAATACACAGCAGGGTTGTTTTCTCAAAGCACAGCCACGTCCACTGTCGCATGAAAACATCCTGCTGAATTTATGTTTTTTCTTTAACAAGCACATATCGATCGCAAGCTTCTTTTTCTTTGGAAATTAAGCTCAATTTATTTTCACTTGAAAAACAAAAAAGTCAACGCCGTTCCAATACTTTTCTTCAATCTCCTTTGAACGCAACTTCAACCGAACTAGATTTATCAGAACAAACCCGTTTCAAAATGCTGAGTAACTATTTTCTCATCATGTGCATTTGGTTGGATACGACTGTGTGTAACTCCAGATGTTTTTAAGTGGACATGGATGCAGGAGTCCTTATTTAGCAGGACTACATGGCTAACAAGAGGTTTGAAATGTGTTTTATTCCATTTCAGTGACTTGGTTTGACTTTCTCTGTTGTTAAAATTAATACTAAATATCCATGAGTCCAAAAATTAGTCGTGTGATCCTCCATATTTTGAAATTGATCCGATACCAAATAAACAGAGGTCCCGTATTGTCAATTCAGATATCGATAATTTTTATTAACCTTTGGCATATTGTCAAACGTCTGACCGTTGTTATTTTTGCTTTGAATTATTTTTGTCAAACCTAGAGTAAAAAATTTGACAAAGTTTATAGGTACCTACAACATACATTAATAATATCTTTACATGATTTGTGTGAATCTTTCGTAAATAAAATAATTTTTTCTGAGGCAGAGTTGAAAGACAATGCAAAAGGTTTCAATTTGGAATGTGAAACTAAAGTATCGATCTTATCATGCTAGTATTAATCCGATACTGATACAGACTTAGCTTTGATATTATCGATATTTTTGGATCAATCCGCCCACTTCTACGAAAAAGGTGAGAAAAAGACGAACCCAGCACTATAGAGTTCATCCTGTATCCTCCCAGCGCCGCTCCAACAATAAACTGGGACACGTTGTAAACGTAAACATTTGGAGACACACCGGCAACGACCAGAAATATCAAAAGCAGGACGACGGGGAGCTGAGTGGTTCTCTTGCGGCCATACCTGAACACAGATAAAGGCTTTAAATCTTTTGCTTGTTTTTTATGCAACAAGTCAGTAAGGCAATCATTTAATTTATTTTTATTTTTTTTAAAGGAACTTACGAGTCAGCAACTGGTCCAAAGATGAACGAGCCTGCGAGCATACCCGTCATGAAGATGGTCTGAGTGATTTCGGCCATGTTAGACTTCTCACAGACAAGATCAAACTGCAAAAATGGATGCTGAGATAATTAGAAGGCAGTCGCTGTAAATAACATAATCACTCTTTACTTACATCAGTCACTATGGTGGATTCGTACAGCATGCTGCCATAAACCCATCCATCCCTGCAGCCTGTTGTCTCATTGAGTCCATAGTCCCTGATGTCCTGGATGTCCCAGTCCACAGGGACGAACATCCGACACCGGCTGAAGCTCCCGTCCTCCTCCCTGGGCACGGTGAGGTTCAGCTGCTCCTCTGCGGTCAGGTTAGCAGCTCTGAGGATCCAGTCCGTGTCGCAGTGCCGCTCCGGGTCGGACTGGGTGAAAAGGAAGCTGCAGAAGAAAACTGGGAGCAAAAAATGTGGAGAAGCCAGCGCCAGGAGAAGAAGCTTTTGGAAGAAGCCAAAGTCCCCGACGGTCAGGAGGATTTCCCCAAAGTCCACCATCTTTGCGCAGACGAAGAAGAAGCCGCTAAGGCCGTCTTTATCGAGGCGTACATGAAAAATCAATATTTAAACTGTGACTCTAATCAGTCACTGAGTGTGAGGGGAAAAGCAACCTTCAACACAAAGTTAGTGGGGCAATGGTTGACATGTTGAAATAAGCGAAGGAAGCTGAGAGGTAGAGCTTGTGTTTTTGTTTCACTGTCAGGACATAGTGACAGTTTTAACAAATGTGTAAAAACAAATTTTCGTAAAAGTGTTCATTTTTACATATTTGTTAAAACTGTCACCATGTCGTGACAGTATGAGACAGATGATGTGTGGAAAAAATGTTTAAAAATTAAGTTTCCTGGATTCTCTCCCAGTGCGACTATTGCACTGAAGAAATGCACCGACCGCTCCCAGTCCAAAGCAGCCAATCAGAGCCAGGAGGAGGGTGTTAGTGCTGTCAATCAATCTTGTGTGCGGTGCTAAATATGCTAGTAGTGGCAGAGAAACAAGTTACTTCAGGGAAAGTGCAGTCATTGGCCATGCTAACTAGCTTTAGCACACATGACCAGTTCCACTGTGGTTAACCAGCTGTGTGTAGCAGAGTGTACACGAGATTGATTGACAGCACCAAGTCCCTCCTCCTGGCTATGATTGGTTGTGTCTGACTGAGCGTATTTCTGTAATGAGAGCTCAGAGTCTGACTCTTTCACAGATTATCAGTTTCGTGATAACAAAAAAAACATTTATTTATTTATACCCCACCTTAAATGTCTTCCTTCTTTTAGTTAATTGAAAACACAGACGCTAGTCGATCCAGATAGTGGAATAAAATTAAATTCATTATTTCTGTCCCAATAACATGTCTTTCTTGAAAATATATTACTGGCTATATTTGGTGTTTCACTAAAAAAACAAAAACAAAAAAAAACTTCTTAAAAGTTTTTATTATTCTTATTATTTTACCAAAACATATCAAGCATTTTCTCTTGCATTAAACAAAAGTTCCCACATATATTGTGTGTCTTTAGTTGAGCAGTGCTGGTAGCTACCCCAAAAGGCCTGGAGTTGTAATTGTTAGTGGAGATTTTCTAAAATATTGGCTCAAAAGGTTTAAATACAGGCACCAGATTTGAGTGTTTTGTAGTTTTGAAAACCATGTATCATTTCTTTCCTTTGCATTTCACAGTTAAGCATGGCTGTCAATGATTGGCAGTGACTGTCAAACGACAGAATGTGAGAAAGCTCAAGACGTATGAATACTTTGTCCATGTATTGTAAATCAACACAATTTCTCGCTCATTTAAACCAATCGTGACTTTATTCAAACACTTCAAATCAGCTCGTGTGTCAACCAACGTGGACAGACCTGTGAGGGCCCTCCATCGCATCGCACTGCAAACATTTTGCTTTAAATTCTGAATGTATGGGAGAGTCGTTCAAGGTCAAGCAGAAAAATTTAAATGTACAACGTAGAAGATGCTGAAATAGGAATATGGACCAATTCTGATCACTTAGCGACCTCACATAGAGGCAACATTTGCTTTCTGTTAATGAAAGAGATACAAACGTCTGATCAGTCATTTCATCAATGCACACACACACGCACACACACACACACACGCACGCACGCACGCACGCACGCACACACACTCACATAAACTGGCATTTGGTTAATCCTTTTTCCCGGGAAGAAAAAAAGCAGAACAATTTGTTAAAGGCTCTAAACAATTTCAAATCAAGCAAAAAAAAAAAAAACATAAGGCGCTAACTGAACTATTAATATTTGCCTGATTAGTGACGCTCTGCCAAATCCAACTCTGTGCCCCGAACAATGCTGAATTTTTTTCTCTGTTTTGTATTTACAAGAAAAATGTCCCCTTCACTGCATTCCCACATCAGTACACAGAAACCCGAAAGCGTGCGCGAGTTTCCTCGTCTTATTTACAACATCTCTCTACACAGCATTTACATCAGCACCTATCAGCACCCGACCCGAGAGCCTCAGTATTTGGATAACAAAACAAAAGACATCAACGGCGTTGGTGACCCTAAAACTTTTCACTGGAAAAATAAAATAATAATAATAAAAAAAATCTTCCAAGCACTACAGCAAGTGGCCTCTGAGATGTTTCAAATAATAATTCACTGGATGCTGAAAATATTTGGATTTCAGATGGTTTTAGATTAAACTTCCCTTCTTACTATTTCAATGGAGATGAAGGGACTGAAAAGAGCAACGTACTTATGTTTAACAATTGTACACAGATAAGGACTAATTTGATAAATGTTACAGTAAAGAGATGAAGAAAACCTTTAAACAAATGGATCTTTTATTGATGTAGCCAAATCTTTTTTTTTTGTTTTGTTGAAACGTTACGTAAATTTAATTGTGATAAATCTTGTGCCAAGAAGCTAATAATCATCTTTATATAATTGGGACTGAAGTATTTTTTATTTATTTATTTATACTTTAAGTTGATCAAGGTTTCCAGGAACCTCTAAAAACTAATCCAATTGTAGTAAGTTATTACCGGGAGTATAAATACAATGTGACACAGGCAGATTTTTCATCTCCCACAGTCTGGATGAGAATCTAGCCCATTTAGAACTTTATAAGTTAATAAAAGAATCTTAAAATCTATTCTATACATAACAGGCAGCTACTAAAGCATTTTGTAGACACCTATAAACGTGATCAAAATTCCTCTGCATGTTTATACTAAATCATTAAAAGAAAAAACTAAACATTTCTAAAGTTTAGAAGTTTGATGGTGCATCATACTTAACGTTTTGGAGTCAATATTGGCAATATCCGTATAACGTATCGCATTTGCATTTTTCTGTCATTTTATATTTACACCCCAGAAATGCAATAAGTCAGATTATAATATAAAATTCCTAAAAAGTCTGATCAACTTAAAAGTGTAAAGATAAATTTAAAAAAAGCTTAGACTAACTTTTTATTGTGTTTTTGGTTTTTTATCATTGCATAAATGTACTCAAATTAAAGTTGTAATTTTTCTGGACTATTCGGAAAATAATTCTGCAACAGTTTCGGTTAATGGAAGAGATACAAAAATGACTTCATGCTTTTTGCACAGAAGGGGTCAACAAATCTGTCCCATCTTTCCTTGTGAACATCAGCACTGACTGGTTGATACAGAAACCAGAGAAAACACCGCCAGGCACAGAACAAAAACACACGCTGCAGCTTTGATACTGCAGCGTGACAAGAGTTAGGATTTTGTTGTTGGAAAATTAAGTTTGAGGACAGGCGGGATACTTTAGCCCTCTCGCAGTCTTGAAGGTTTGCGTCGAGCGCTCGCGTGCCAAGTCAGCGGTTTGGTGTTTCAGGTCGACTCATACGTTGACGCCGCATTCTCCTAAAATGAGCCTCCAAAAGAGGGTTCATATAAATGCCAATGCAGGGCGACCTGCTCTCCAGCAGCACCTTCAAGATCTTCCAGTTTGCCTGTAAGGTGACGGGCGCAATCTGCACGCAAAAAGAAGTGCGCGACAAGGCACCATGGCATCGCGGCGGGTAAACACGTTAGGTGCGTACCTACTCGTGCAAGCTCACCATGAACCTAGCTTTAGGGCGGCGCTCAGGAGGAACGCAGCCAATGTCCCTTCAGTGGGGAAGGTTTGTTCCGTCAGACCGTCAGTACCCAAAACCACACACACACACAAAAATAGCCTCGTGAAAGCGCACATGGAACCATTCACAGACTGCAGGAGGGTTAAAAGTACGAGCGTAATGTACATTTGCATTTTGTGCATAAATTCCTGTTGCTACTCAGGTATGTGTTAGGACATGTTGCTATTTTTTAAAGACATCAGTTCCCATAAGTGTCGACCAGATTTCACGCATACAGCCATGCCTTGGTATTCATTTGGGTTGCATGTGGTAGCTAATAAATTGCGGTGAAGTACAGAAAGACCTTAAAAATAAAACAACAATAAAATGAAAGCTACCGCATAGAAAAGGACAATTCCAACAGCTAGGAGAGTAAGCTCCCCCTATGAGCTTTATTTGACGTTGGAAGAACATTTCCAGTTTTTTAGCATGCATGCCCCCACAGACGTTCACTCGTAGTCGGCGTGTAACGCGACACCCGCCTCGGACTCGATACCCGTCACCAGCATTCAGGATTCTCTGCAGCTGTCAGGTCATCGGTTGCCACAAGGCTGAATTATTTCATACAGAAAAGAAAAAAAAGACAGTAATCATCCTACACGTCAAACTGTTGATGAGTCGAGTTATTAGTATTGTAACTTTCTGCAGCAGGTTTCTAAAGATGCTTATTTCTGCTGGTTGACCTTTAATGAACTCCTTTTTGGAGGCGTACGCACAAAAAAAAAGAAAAAAAAAAAAAAGAAAATTGCAGTTTTATGCAAAAACAAAGTAGCAACAAACAGCAAACGGTGGTGAAATAGAGAGCGCTATTGCATAGTAGAAGAATATTAGGCAGAGCTCAGTGAGAGAAAATAAACGTGTGTGCACGACATCAGAAAATACCACTGGACAAAGTGTTTTATAAAAAATAAAAAAAAGAAGAATTGAAGCCTCTGCTGCTGCTCACATGAGAAGTTTTAACAGTGCTGAAATCCTCGCCGATGTTTTACGATTCTTGACACCATTTCTGACCGCTTCGTACAGGAGTCCGGATCCGAGAACTTTGCTACGATGCGTTTAGGTGCAGTATCGAACTTCGAGGGACGCTCTTAGATCTTTTTTTTTTTTTTTTTATGAAGAAAGTAATTTCTGCGTTTACCAAACACTCGGGGGAGAGGGACGTTTACGGTAGCTAAGGCTGAACTTTCAGTTTCAGTGTAGCAGAAAGCGCCGCGTGACGGTGGCATGACACTCTCGAGCTTTGTGGCACAAACCGATTTCAAAAAAAAAAAAAAAAAAAAGAAAGAAAACGGAGAAAAAAAAATGTAATTAAAAAAAAAGGCCATCAGTTTCCAGTACTGGCAGGAGATGGTTTGGATTGTGCTTGTGTACGCGGAGGAGGACTAAAAGGAAAACGAATTAGGAGCTGATGATAGTTGATTGCATTTTTCTCTCCCGTTAAACTCTATAAGCGCACTGTAAACATTTCAAGTGTGGTTCCTGTGATGAGCTGAGCCCCTTGGTGTGGTCCTCGTGCATCCCGCAGTAGAGTCACACTCCTGCCAACCTCACTCCACTTCCTCCTCGTCATCATCATCATCATCATCCTCATCCTCAGTCTCCTTTCTTTGGCAGTAGTGGGTCCTTGGAGTTGACTACAATGCAGCTGTGCAAAACCATACGTTTCAGTCTTATTTCACCCACTCTGCCCAACTTAACTGATGCTGAGCTGCGCAAATCCGATCAGCTTTATATCGTCGGGAATCTCGGACTCCTCCACACCAGACGCCTGGAAATAAACAAAAACCATGATTTCTGGGTCATCGAGGTTCCAACTCCCTCTAACATTTTTTAGGCCATTGAGAATGAAATCTAAGGCCTATATTTTCATCGAAACGTACAAACGTCTTCCAACCAAAGACAAATTTGCTTTGACAGATGTAAAAAAAGATAGCTAGCTAAAAAGTGTATGCTAGCAGCTAGCTAGCGGTAGCCTCAGAACGCAGTCACAGAACGCAATGAAGAGATGAGAGTGCGACTTAAATGTCTGGCTGTCAGAAAAGTCCCACCAGAAAAAATAAACTGCATGTACGACATTACAGGGTCCTATCAAGACAAAATTTAACACTTGGGATTAACAAAGACAAACTTGCCTTTTTGAGACATTTTAAGGCCTTAATTTTAGATAAATTAACTTAAGACTTTCCAAGGATGCAGAAGTGCATCTTTAGGGCTATTAGTGGTGGTCGGAAAATCTCTGTCTGGGCCTAAATCGCAATTTAAATATACAGACGGTTTATGTAGATGGATTCTTGTTTTTATTTTTGTTGACGTGATTTTTATTAGCTGTGTGTTTCCATTAACCATAAAACTGCAAAAATTGGAATTTTGAGAAGAAATTTGCTCCTTGAAACAACTCATATGCAAAAGTGTTTACGCAAGGATGAGGTAGTTTTTTCAGCTGCATTGACATTGGTGTTTTTCGCAAAACTGCAATGGAGACACTTTTTTTTATTTTATTTTACATCAAGTCAGTTTGCATACAGCAGCAACCCGTTTATCGGCACTGGCATCCTTGGACAATATGCTGATGGCCCCAGCAGGTATGTATATGTGGACTGGTAAAAATCAGAACATATCTTCTGAAATTTTTATGATTTTGGCCCTGATAGCAAAACATTTAGACAGTACTGTGTTAACCCAATGGGTTGTATTGTATTTCATATAGTGGTATCAAAATAAATTAAAAATGCATGTTACTTTTCTGATTTATTTAGACAATGATTTAAAAGAGGCACCACTTCCCTTTTCACTACTTTGTCAATTACACATCAAATACTCAAACTAATGCATACTCTGACTGTACAACTAAGCCCTTAAATCAGAAAAAACTCATTTAAAAATCCAGGTTACTGCTGGTAAAAATCCATATAATTATTAGGGCAGAATAAAGTCTCTTGGCTTACCAGTTTAAAGGTCACATTTTTGTTACTCTGAGGATCATCAACAATCTTTTGCAAATTAGCAGCAACTAAACAGGACAGAAAAAAAAGAGATTACCAGGGAGTGGCTTAAAAGCACAGCAAATACTTCAAATATCATCGAACCAAGAGCTGCAAATGTGTAAAAACGTGTCACAGTGAATAAAGTTATCAACCTACCAATGACCAAGTCCCTCCCATCAACCAGACCGGCTGAGACCAGCTCCTGAGAGACGCCATCAGCAGAGTCTGCAGACAGAAACGATGTGAGTGGCTTCGAGCTGGACGTGTTAAAAACAGACAAGAAACCCTCTGCTCCTACCTCTGCCGCTCATGAACTCAAAGCGGATGTCATTGAGCTCCTTCTTGTTGTTCCTCAGTCTGAGCACGAGGCTGATGGGAACGCTGGAGGCTGCAGGATCCTGCGGTAAAAGTCAAATAATTAAAGGCTTGAATGTTTATCATCTGCACGACTTTCATATTAATTTGGGACATTTAATGAATTATTTGGGCCGTTCTTTGGGCCTGCAGGACAGTGATCTGAAACACACATTAATTGGTGTAAAAATGGATGAGGTCGGCTAACATTAAGCTTCTAGTGTGACCCATAAAAAATTTATTGTTTCAATTGGGACCGCAACCCAATTGAAACAATAAAACATTTTTTTTGTATTATTCCACTCTGCATAAGAATTGCTAAAATTCATTCTTAAAGATCCCAAAAATAACAAGACTTTTAACCAGGAATCAACCAAATCCTAAATTTCAATGTAAAAATTACACTTTATCCTTACTGTAAATTCTATTTTTTATTATAAGAATTATTAAGTAACAATAAACCCTGTACAATGTAATAAGAAATATTAAATGAAAAGCAAAAGAATAGGGATGTAATCAGATAGTTGATTCAGACTTATTTGTTGAGAATATATAGCGAGAATATTTGTCCTTATGTAATAAATATCACTACAGCTAACAACTAAATATTCTAGTAATTGGTTATTCTGACGATTAATTGCACAAAAAAACTGGCCCCTTCTTTCATTTAACCACTTAAGTCTTTTTTATACAACATTAGAACCACATTAAGAAAACCAAATGCACACAAAAATACATATTTTGCAAAGATAGCCTTCCTTAAAATGAATCTGAACCAGGGGAAGCTAAAACTACCACTTGAGGAGTTTTGTGTAAAACATTAACAGACAAAGGTCTTTTATCCTCAATGCAAAAATGTGTATTTATTTCGAACAATTTTGGCTTATTTTTGCTTTAAACAATTTTTTTGGGGAAAATTGCCTTTTCTGGTCCCTGCATGCTCCATTTGACAATTTATTGATGAATCTAACTTTGTTGACACTCATTTCAACAACTGATTAACCGCAAATCATCTGATTAATCGTTCCATCCCTGAAAATAACCAAATTATAAAACTTTTTTCTGTTCACACCTGAACCGCAGGTGCGTGCGAAGGGCTCGCCGGCTGGGTGGCAGCCTGCGGCGGAGCTTCTTCTCCTGCTGCAGCCGGGTTTGCTGGTCTCTCATGTGCAGCTCCAGGAGGCTGCAGATGCGTGGTGGCGCCATCTGCTGGCGGGAAAAGCTAACAGAAATTTGCAGATAAATTTGGGAGGTCTTTTTATGACATTCAATGTGGAAATAAAGGACTGAATGAAAGAAATGAGAGTCATGCGGATTGTTGTGTGTCGGCGTCGTGGTGAAAATCAAGAGTTTTCGGGTCATGTCCACCACAAATACACTCACCTCCATGTTTTGGGAGCCGTCCTTCACTCTGGGTGACTGCAGAATGGACATGATAGATTATCAGGATTGAATACATGCAATTTGTCTTTCATTCCCCACCAGTCCACATCCATGGACTGCTGGGAGTTTTATAGGATTGAGGAGTAAACAGAAAAGCAGACCCATCGCCCAGACATTATTTAAAACGAACAAACACTAGACAGAGATTTAAGCAGAAGCTCAGGCCAGTGATTTAAACCACTTTCAGCCTTTGTAACCACCCACCTTGAATTAATACAAGGGCAAAACACATTCGTTACAAGGCTAAAGGTCGTGAGCATCTGACCACCACCTGCAAAAGTAGTCTTATAAAGCCGAGCAGAGCGGCTGTCGCGCGGGGTCTCACCCTCAGGGCGGCCACGGCGGCTTTTCCCTCCTCGCTCTCTTCGTCCAGCTCGTCATCGCTCCACTCCCATCCGCCGTCTTCCGTCTTGTGGAGGCGGCCGCTCGAACCGGGCACGCGACGCACCTGCAGGACAGAGAGAAGCAGAGCTTACTGCGGGCAGCTGTTTGAGCCTGTCCAAGGCTGATCTCAGTGTGCGTCACATCCCATGGCTGTGAAACTGTGTCACACCTTTGTTAACCCAGCGCACCTTAGTCACATAAAAAAAACACCTTTTTTTGTAAACATTAAATTCATCTGCACTGGTAAAAAGCGCCAAACCTTTTTAGATCGGTCTGATATTGTGGGGCCTTTCATCAGGAGCTTTTCCTGCAAATACTCATTGTTCTGCAACAAAACAAAACAAAAAATCTACATTTAAAAACACTCATTTCAGAAACTTCAGAATAAATTTATTACAAATGCAAACAACCATTTGTGACCAACTATTGACCAATAGTTTATTAGGTTAAAATTTGTTCCAATCTAATAATCTATTTAACCATTAATGTCAGTTTAGACATTCTTCCAGTTTTGGAGTTTGGCATCCAGGCAGCAGAGGGAGCCGATGGAGCCAGTTGACAAAGGAATAAAGATGGCGGTGGGGCCACATCAGCATGAGAATCTTTCATCCCACAACGTACAAATAAAGTACAGTGTAGGACACAAGTTACATTTTACACTGTTAAATATGAGAACCATAATTGCCTGTTCATTCAGTCAATAATTAATACATCTGACACAAAATAATGTACAATTTTTATTGTCTTTTTTTATAGGAGAAATAGGAGAAAATGGCAGTTTATCAACTAATCGTTAGTCAATTGATAAGATCCATCAACTTTAGATTAACTCATTAACCAATAACTTCCATCCTTAATTCCTACGAATAAACAGCTCACCTTGGCTTTTGTGAAGAATTTGTTCTTCAGCAGCTCGGCAGCCGTTGGTCTGAAAGAGAGACCGACAGACGGCTTTTCAGATGTTTCGGAACAAACGGCGCATCTGCTTGGACAGCAAGAGAGTCAGAGACCAACTGACCTTTTCTCCGGATCTTTCTGTAAACACAAGGAGAGCATCTTCCTGAACGACTTGCCGTATTTCTTCACCATTTCTTTGTCCGCAACACCCGTCTCCAGACAAGGAGGGTCGTTCTGCAGAGTCAGCATCAACACCTGGAAAACACAAACAGTCAGGTGACGACGACGAGTTCGTTAGTAAGTCAGAACATAAAAACAAGAGACGAGCCGAAGTCTGGCGCTGACGAACAGTCGCTGGGTTTTGTAGACCCAGGGTTCGAACACTTTTGCTACATTAAAATTGAAGCATTTTCAAGGTAAGATTTAAAACTTTTTCAGCACCACACCTTTGAGTTAAAAACAAACAAATGAGCTAAAAAATGTCAGTTTCAATTCACTAATATGACATGATTCATGATTATCATGTCATGATAGTTTACTTTGTTCCAGCTGTAGAATGCTAACAAAATGTCATGCTTTTAAGTGTCTCTCTCATGCACACACTCTACACCTGACTGGTCAGAAAACAAAAAACTAAATTAACAAAATATTTTTCAAAGTATAAAACATGAGACGACCTTTATTTCAATTACACAGATGAATTAGTTATTGACCCATTGGGGATAACAAACAGTCATTATATTTAAACAATCCAATCACATTATGTTAAATTATCAATATGATTGAATTAGAGGCTTGAACACAATATACAAAGAGAGTCACAAAAAACAAAAAGAAATCCCAAAAATATGCTCACTTAGTATTCTCGTGTTCAACAAATAAATATTTTTGGTAATTCTGACTGAACTGAAGCAAGAAAAGTTTTGTCTGATTTCACTTCATTCAGTGAGGAAAATATGTGTCTGATTTCTATTACGCATTTGTTTACAATATATTAAAAATATCTAGTTCTTACATTTTTCACATTTAGGATTTTCATCAAATTTGCCCCTTTATTACAAATTGATACAATCTCCAGATCGAGCATCTCAACAACAAGCAGAGGCCCAAATGCCTCTGGATTGCTCGAGCAAAAAGGAGACCATTAAATATCTGCATAGCTAGCAAATAAAGGTCCATGCTAAGTGCACAGTCACCTTCATTGGTGGGTATTTGTGATACGGCGCGGCCCCAGTGGCCAGTTCGATAGCGGTTATCCCAAAGCTCCAGATGTCTGCTTTGAAGTCGTAGCCACGAACCTGCAGATATATATATAAAAAAAAAGCCATTCTGACAAAATGTTGAACGTATTTTTATTTATTTTTCCTGTGTTAGATTCAGTACAAGATGAAGCTGAAGGACAACTCCCACCTGCTCCATCACCTCCGGTGCCATCCAGCATGGCGTCCCAACAAACGTCTTCCGAACCTTATTCCTCGTCATGTCTCCCCCTGCGGCTAGAAAGGCACTCACACCAAAGTCTGTGGCGTGAGTGTCAAGAAAGAAAAGATGTTTAAAATGATCTACACTGAGATTGTCTTTCCAACTGTTTCATATCATAATGCAAACTTCAAAGTGTGACTTCTTGTTTAAGTCAAAGGAATGGAAACGGGAAAAAAACACTTTACCGGCTATCTGCACCGAGCCGTCGTCTCCGAGAAGAATGTTTCCGGCCTTAAGGTCTCTGATGATAGAGAGTGAGGAATTTAGTGTGTTCATTCTATTGCTCTTGGTTTTTACACACACTATAAAACAGGACATCTGCAGGTTTCAGCAGCTTAAGACATTTTAAGACCTTTTCGTAACCTAACATGAATAAAATTTAAGACCAAAAAACTATAAATATAGGGAGTTGTTGGGCTGGCTCGTAAGAGTGAGAAGTGAATCAGTGGCAAAATATCGAAGTTGTCCAGCTAGCTGTAGAGATTTGCACATAGCCTTAGAAAAAATCTGCCTAGCTAGCTAGAAAGAGTATATCAGCATCTAGTATCACGGAACACGATGAAGCTATCTGCGCACAACTCAAACCTTTGCCTGACTTAAAAGTCGCACAGATTAAATAGTTCTGCCACAACTAAATTTAAGATCTGATTAGCGTATTTAAAGCTAATTCATTTTTTTTAAAATAAACTTAAGGCATTTTAAGGCCTTGATTTTAGAAACATAAATTTAAGACTTTGTAAGGGTACATGGGCACTCTTTGTAAAGTAGGTGCAATCTATGCACAAAGAGCTCAAATAGATTAAGGAGGCCTCGGGTCCTGAGGCCTCATCCTCACAGATTAGGTATAAGTGAGTTAGTCACATCATCTGAGCCCAATCAACTGCTGCTCTGTCAACTGAACTTAAAGTCAGAAAAAGTTTAAAAAATACGAGTTAATCATATGACGTGTTGCATATAGTCTACTTCAACATAATCCATGTGGTTATGGGAAAATGCTTCTTGAATAGGAAGTCGTCTGGTTTGAAGCAGTGACACTCGTAACATCGCACAGCGCCGGGAGGAGGGTAACAGAGCTGCCTCCTCATAAACCTCCTCAATTATGCATTTTGACTGTATTAAATATTAAAAGAGTGAGATCAAGTTCAAACTGCGGAGGCGAAAAGCTCAGAGTCAGATGGCGGCGTGCGCCGGCGTTTTGTTTGCTGCCAGCTCGTCGGGCCTCACCGATGAATCTGTCCGTTTTTGTGAAGGTACTCCAGCCCCTCTAAGACTTCCTTCAGGATCGTAGCGATGCTGGCCTCGTCCAGCACTCCGTTCCTGTGATCGCCACGTGAGATGATGTGCTTGATGATGTCCAACACAGAGCCTGGAAGAAAGGCAGAGGCTTGTCACAAGATGCACCGGCCGTTCTTTGACCTGCTAAGCCTCTAGAAGAGCTAGAGAAAACCTCCTGTTAGAAAATGAGGCAACACTTTTATTGTTTGTTCGCGACTAGATTGGTCGACTATCGGAAACGTTTGGCAGCTAAGAACAGCTGGAGTCTGGCCAACAATGTATCCTTTCGTCAAGCTTTGTGGTAAGACGAAAACCTGATCTGACAAAGCAAATAAGGTTAAATAAAGTTGGCCAGAACTACTTACCACCACTGAGCAGCTTCATCACCAGCCACAGTTCATCTTTCACCACAAAGGAGGTATAATAAGACACAATGTTTGGATGGTGGCACTGGCTCATAGCCTGAATCTCTTTCTGCACAAACGGGGAAAAGAAAAAAGCATGAAAAGCTCAACCGTTAGACTAAGCCAGGATTCAGTCCAAGTCCATCTATAAGAGTTTAATCTCCCTGTTAAAACAGCCAAGACATAAAACTGGTGTACATGCTTTAAATCAGGTCTGTACAAGAAAAATAACCGACTACATTTGGTTAGATCATCACAGAGTCACAAGACAGGATTCTTTTTTTTCTTTTTTAAATAAAGAGGGCAGACTTTACTCAGGACTCTGGAAACGTCGGAACACCGAGTTAGATTAGGCTGAAGCACAACAAGCACTATCGTAACAATGTTCACATCAGATAGCACAGATGTTGATGTTGCAGTGTGTGACAACCAACAAAAGGCAATGATTCAAAGAGACCAAAGTAGCATCTGATGACCTACTGCAACATTTTGCAGCGAGTAAAAGTAAAGAAAGTATCCCGAAACAGTTTCATAGATGATCTGATAATATCTCCAATTGTTGTATTCATTTTAATAAGCAATAATAGCTCCCACAGTTTTGCATAGATGTGATTAAGCACCTTGACCTTTGAGGCTCTTGTTTCACCGGATTAAACAAAAGCTGACATTCCAGCCACAGTGATTATTTCGCTGCTGAATTCCAAGACCATTAGGTGGCTTATTATGAACACCTAATACATAAAAAAAAATACATTGCAGAGCATAAATGTGTCAAGACTTTTTGTGTTGGTAAATTAGGAAAATGGGGGCGGAGGGGAAATCAACTTTTTTTAAATTGTGACCAAGTGCAAAAAGATAAACTCTTCTCCAATCTCTGGTAAACAAGTTTTATCTGATTTAGATTTTTTTTTTCGCACAGAAAAGTAAGAATTTGAAGACAACAACAAAATACTTTCTCTCCTGCTATAATGTCATCATTTATAATACGAACAACGACAGGCCGGTTTGTGAGAGAGCCGTCACTGAAAAGCAGAGTTATTGCACTATTTTATAATAAAAATTCACTGAAGAGTTCTCATTACAAACTGTTTTTTAGAAACTTATATTAGCACAGTTAGCTTTACTAAAACGATTGCCTATATTTCCAAACGGGGCATGTTTCACAAGAATAAACCAGAGTAACTAAGCGTTAATAGTCAGCCTTTCTGTTACCTGCTGAAAGTCTTGCACTCTCTCACTCTTAAGTAACCCGACTGAAGCACAGACATCACTTATTTTAGACTTGCACTGTACGGTTTTCTTTGAAAAAAGGTTCTCGAATTTTAGTTCTTCCACTGATTTCCTGTTTAAACACATCAATTACCCTAAAAATAACTGACCTTGGGACATCTGCATTCAGTAACACCATCCAAAGTGAGGACTGTTGCTCTTGCATATCTCACAGCTTTCACCAAGTTTCATTAATCTAACATTCAACACTTTTTACAACTTTAAATTGTATATATAGTTTTTATAGCATGTTACACAACTCATGATGTTCTACCCACAGGTCACCAAACTTCAGCACCTTGGTCAACCTTTTAGCAGGAAATCAGGCATAGTATATCGGTAATAGACTGGAAATAGACTGATCGGGCCAAAAAAATTAAAGGTTTCTGCGCATTTTTATTTGTAGGTTCTAACACATTTATCTGGCATATAAATATGTAAGAAATGTTGTTTCAGTAACTGAAGTTACATTAAATTGTAGCATAAAGTAGAATAAGATCTGTCTTCACTTGATATGATTTTACAATCTGCAAGTTTCAGTAAAAAACAAACAAACAAAAAAAGACAGACTGAAATGCGTTCCTGTACACTTGCAGGGCTACAAACACAATCCCGTTGCCTTCTTACCAGGAGCTCATCCATGCTGGTTTGACACTTCTCCAGGTTGATGCGTTTGATGGCCACCTTCTCCTTTCTGGGCTTGCAGTATGCTGCCTGAACAACCGCAGTGGCTCCACTCCCTGACGAGATCAGAATTAGCAGTGAGCAGAACTGATAGCTCGAATAGTTCTTTATAAAAAACTTTGATGCGGAATGAGGGATAATAATTGCTACCACTTAAGACCACACAAGCCTCACACAGCGCAGCTACCATTACTTCTCACCTCCGAAATGTATTTTATTTTCTAAAGCTAGAAATGATCGTATACTTTGTTATATACCTATATGTAATATGTATATTATACTTATGTCAAACAGCACCTCCCTCTATCCTCTCAGCGAATCTCTCACACTCGCCGGCTAAATGTGACTAGCAAGTCGTTTAGCTTCATGTAGCTCAGTTAGGAGACAGCCTCCTGTTTGCTTTCCAGCTAACAAGAGCAAGTGGCCTTGCCCGAGGGAAACTGCCGGCCTGCACGAAGAGCTACGGGTTGGGACTTGACTTCTGACTGCAGCAGACATGCAACGCTAGTAGCTGGCGAGGCTAGCAGCAGTTGTCAGCCGACGCTGCAGTGAAGACAGGGCTACGATGCTAACATTAGCAGGCTAAGCTACTCACCTATCACCTCGTTGAGTTCGTAGTCATCCCTGTTAATGGTCCAGGCCTGGGTGGACTGTTCGTCGGCCATGTTTGTTACCTCAGTGGTGTGTAAAAGCGCTTGGGAGCTGTAACACAAACGCGGTCTAAAATAATAGATTTGACTTTACTCCATTCGGGTCCGTTGAGGCTGGTTGCTGCTGTTCCTTTGACAACTCCTGCCGCCGCCGCCGCCCCTGTCAACACAACTTTACGTGCGTCTGACGCAACGCCATGCGTAAGTCAGAGAGGGAGGAACCAAGATGGCGCCCTCTTCAGTTAGGCAGTAGTCTCGCTTCGCACTTAAAGCCGGTAAAAGAAACGTCATTGTCGGAACCTAAACAAATAACGGTTTAGCCGCAACTCTCCACCCCCCAAAAAACAGTTTTTTTTTCAAAAATATGTCGGTGAAGTGTCATGACCAAGACAATTCTTGTTGTCCGCATTAATACAATATAACCAGCAGATGGCGCTGATATTCCCAATACTTGTTCAATTCATAAAGGTCAGAAAGCCCTTCTCCCCAAATATTACAATGTAAAAATTAATACACCTTAGGGCGTCTACCACAAGAGTAAAGACTGAAAAGCCTAAGAAAATAGGGCTTTTCTGTCAAGAAAAAAAATTGCCCTCTTAAAAAAAATGTTTTAATTACATCTACAAAACATGCAAACCTCATATTTTCGAATTGTTCCATTTTTGTGATAAAAAATTAAAAAGATATAAAATATCTTTTTTAAAAGTTCAGCTCAATAACAAACTGGACTGGTTTAATAACACTGATGCCCCGTACAAGAAAGTTGAATTCAGTCATCCTCTACTACACATACAACTGGTAATAAAGCATTAATAAATGGATTAAATATCTGTACAGCGCCCTACCACTTACTTCTGTTATCTCTCATCTATGCAGAGATAACAGAGATACTGCATAATACCTACTGGTATTATGCAGTATCAACGTTTCTTAAGTTATTTATATATTTATATATTATTTGACGAGGGGCAAAATCCCATTATTGGTCTTGATTTCTAAAGAGGTGCCCAACATTTGAGCTGGTACCCCACCACTGAGAACAATTGTTATTTTGCACATGTATGAGATGTTAATGTTGTTCCAATTGAAATTATACGACACAACCCAGTGTGTGCATTTTTCCTCACTAATAAACTAACATCATACTGATAAAAAAAAAAAAAAGCCCAACTGGGTAAAAAAACAAAACAAAACAAAAAAGGATTACATAATATTTTAAGTGTAAAAAATGAAAAAGTGCAATGAAGTAGTAAAAATGAATACATCCACACAGAATACATGGACACAACTTTGATGGAAGGTTTTATTTAAAAGTGTGGATGAAAAATGCAAGAAAAAATACAAACAAGAATCCCTAAAATGCCTGGCAGCTTGCCCACACCTTCTGTGACGTCATCGGATGCACGAGTTGCTCGGAAGTCTGTTCCATGAGGGAGCACTTCATCGTGATCAGATAAGGTTTTACAGTAAAACAACAAAACAAACATTTGCGGCAAACAGATCATGACACGACAAACTATATCTGAAGTTTGTTGAGCTGATTTCACAGAAAAGTGTGGCTGGTAGCAGCTTTGAACTCAAACTGTGAGATCTAAAGAAAAAATGTAGATTTTTATCATTTTCACAACAAACCTCTACATGTCCGACAGCTGCAGCGTCTGCAGCTGTCCGGTACTGGTTTTGGCACCTCTCGTGCTGCATCACTCTTTCAATTCAAAGGAAACGCTGAGTCACAAACTATCTGTATAACCTCATGTGTTAAATAAATAAACAGTCAAGGAAGACTTGGAGAACTCAAAAGGCTGATTGTGAGTGTGCATATGTTAAAGTTTACATTTTACACAGGTGAGACATTAGAAGAGTATTTAAAAATGAAACTGGTTCTTTGATCATTGCACGTATTCACAACAGAGGACGTTTGTAACCGGTGGAGTTGAAACAGCAGCCTGAGACGTGGGGAAAAACTGCACGGATGGTATTAGTGGTATGTGAGGAAACAGCCAGGCCTGTTCTTGCTTGTTTCGCGAGCACAGACTCCCACACCTCTCTCTTTGAAACGAGGTTTAAGTCGCAGCTCTTCTTTGTCAGCTTTTACTGTTGGCTTTAACATATTTACAAATATTTTTTTATGATTAACTGTCTTTGTGGCGTTTTTTTAAGTATTAAATAGCTGAATGCTTTATGAGATAGAGGTCACTCTGTGTTGATAGTAAATACACTTTGATGTGAATGTCAGAAAATGGTTCAAACCTTAGCAGTACTATAAACATAAGGTTTATAACATAAGTTAACCTTGAGCAGAAAATCCTCAATTAGCACAAACATTTAAAAATGAAAAGGTCTGTGAAAAAGAGTTTCATTTCATTTTTTGTATTTTTTTTTCCCCCACTTAAATATTTCAGATCACCAAACTAGCGTTAATATCACACTGAAATAACCAGAATAGACATAAATGAAGATTTTACCTTGTGTGAACCTATCTGGACGTTACCATCATGGCAAAATTAGTCCAGGAATGCATCAGCGACTCATCCAGGAAGTAAGAGAAGAACATCACCTCTGCAGATCACAGACGTCACAGTTAAAGCATTTAATTTAAAAAAAAAAAAAAAAAAAACTAGTTTAGGTGAAGCATTCTCTAGGCTTTTAAGAGATGAAACGAGAGTAGAACCTGAGGAAAAGTCCATGTCTTGTTTCCTCTGGCATAAAACTAAAACAGTGTTATTTTTTTATTTTATTTTAATTTTATTCTTTTCAGAAAAATAATATTATCCCCAGGGCCAGATTTACGAGAATGCGGGCCCTAGATCCAAAAGCTGTTTTGGTTTCCAGTCCACTAAAGAAGAATTTACTTCGCTGGTGCAAATCACTGTACATTAATAGATACAGTATTAATGAATAAACCGGGTATGAACTGATGATATCAAATGATAATACTAGGTTTAAAACGTCCTTTGGCCAGTAGCACCATGTTATTCCCGCAAAAAGGAAGTAGCTTCATCATTTTCAGATACTTGAGTATTTTTTATATTATTACAACTCACCCAACATGTGTCTATAATTCATATATAAAGCGCAATGTTTGCAAAAACACGGATTCGTTAAAAAAACTGAAAAAAATACAAAGACGTGCTGGTAACAGTTTGATGGTGATGGAACTGCTTTGCAGCTCCAGGACCTGGATGAATTGCCCAAATTGGTGGAACCATTTTAATTGGATTATGCAAGAAAAGATGGTTGCTTTAGATCTTCGTCTTGTTTACTTTAGAAAATGATCTAAAGCAAACCAGCAAATCCATCTCTGACTGGTTCAAATGACTGGTTTTGAAGTGGCTTAGTCAATTTTTGGGCTTAAATCCAGGTGCAGATTGATTTAACTAGCACCTAGTAGCTTATCTTTGTCAGACACTAACATTTATTTGGTGATCCAAAACATTTTTTTGACAAAAGCTCAACCAAAGTAACTTTGTACGGGCCCAAATGAATTTCTATAGCACTGTGTAATGTGATCAAATGATTTCTAAAGAAAGCAGCTTTGTGCCCAACAGCTCATGCTGTGCCTTCAAAACAACCACAGTTTCTTATTTTCCACATTATGACTTTTGTTTAACAAAAAGCTGAATTTGTCTTTTCAATGCACATGGGAAATTTGTATTACCCGACTCTCATCCGTCTAATCAGGTGTGGGAAAACTCAAGTCACTTTTGTTTACGTCTTACTTATATTTCTGTGGTTTTAAGGCTTTTCAAGACCTTAAAACCACAGTACCGTGTACTGTGGTCCTTGCCTGGTTTTACCAGAGGGACGGTTTGGGTGGGGGCTTGTCCGGTAGCATCCGGAAGCTCTCCACCGCTGACAGTGCGCTGAGGGTAAGCCGGGTGTGAAAGAGAAGTGCTGAGAGCTACAGCGACTGCGCCGCTATTATCCCACCATGGCAGAGCTGTTGGCAAATAGGCGCGACCGAGGCACAAGGGGAAAGCGTGCGACCCATATACGGAGGCCAGCCCTCCACGCTGCCTTCACGGGTTCCAGTTGACCCTTGCCACTTATGTCCTCCTCCTTGCCCACTTTCCTGACACTTAACTACAAACCAAAGGCCACTGGAGCTGAAAAAATTATTCAAATAATGGTTAGAAAAAACAGTTCGCTGGCAAAATAGGAAGTAAAGACTTCATTTGTTCTAGTCATTAGTCAAACATCCTCAAAAAGACACACTCAACTATCTGGCTGGCAGAGAGCCAGTTGCACTTTTAACTATAAAGCTCCTCCATTCAAATTATCTGGATATGTTTACTTTGTGTTCACGTTAAACGTGCACACATTTAACATGTTCTGGTTGAATTCGCTAGCCCCAGGCTCCAACAGGGCGTGAGATATGAGTTTTCACTATCTCTACAAGGTGGTGGGTGTTTCTTCCATCCCCATTCATTCTGTGTCTGCCTCTGGAGACCATCACAAGATTATGAAAAGAAAGTCACCTTTTTTTCTTTTTTTTTTTTTCCAAAGTCAGGTTCAGAAGGATTAAGTAAACAATAAAAACCAAAACAATACTTTGGAACAAGGTCGTCTTAACCTACTCGTTGTGTGATGGCACAGGCCAGCCTGGGGTGTAACCTGCCCTGTTGTGACATCAGCAGCCCAGCTTGAATGACAGTCTTGTCAAACCGGTGCTGGAGCCTGCAGCATTCCCCTGCGTTCAGATTGCGCTCTTGTTGGCTTACAGAGACTTTTCCCCCTTTCTGGAAACTGCACACATGAAAACAGAGAGCAGCTGAAAACGAGGAGAGAACCTGCACAATAACGACCAAAGAGGGTTGGGAGGGGTTAAGTAAGGATGAAGAAGAATGGGATCGAAAGCAAGATAACAGGTAAGAGATTTTTGGTGATTTTATTAGTTTGCATCTCTTGGGTGTTGCCCTGATTACTTTCATAATCCAACAGGTATTAACCTGATGGCCCAATAGCGGGAGCGTTTAACTTTTAACTAAAAGTCAAACTGTGCAACTTGCTGCGTGTGTGGTGGATATTTTTGTTTGCTTAATATAACACTGTGCTCCCCTGCAGCCACTATGGCACGTTTCAAGATCACTTTCAGCCTAAAGGTGTGGCTCCCTCTTACCCACCTTGTTACGAACACAAACACAGATGTCTCCAAACCAAAACAGCGCCTTGCCTTTGGTTAGACAGTAAGTCAAGAAAGCGACAAACAACTTACTCTTTGCGTGCACCGTATTGATCGCCTGTTTCTTTACAGGTGATCAGGGTTTGTGGCGTTAAATCGACAAATAATGCAAATAAGGCGTTGGTAAATCACAGCACATGAAGTGTCGCAACTCAA